TCTTAATCAGGATATTAATAAGGAACTAGCAGTTTATGAAGCTTTTGGAATAATCCACCAATTTTTTAAAATTAAACACTATCTAAAGATTTGCATCGAAGCGTTTTTTTTTATAGTGATTTTAATCACTGTCAGATATCATTATACTTGATCCAACTATGCCACGTCACCACTGTGCCGCGACCCCCCTGTGCTGGGTTTTTTAACACTATTCTTGGTATCAATGATATTAATAAAATTATATTATGAAGGCATAGTTAATGAGCTTGAAACGTGTTATTATAATATAGAATTATAAATAACACAACACAAATTAAAATTTGTGTTAATATATTAGATGTGAATGAAATATAACACAAAACAAAAATAACATTGTCTTATTTGTAATCATTTTTGAGAGTTGATTTGGGTTTCACAATATTATATTTTTGTCAAACTTCAATGAACTAATTATACTTTAAATGTCAAAATCAAATGATAAACTTAATAATAATACAGATGATTAGAAAAAACATATAATTATAAGTTATAAATTTCATCAAATTAATATTACTACTTCAATATTTTCTTTTTAAATACTTAATTATAATAATAATAATATAGTGACTACAAAAATATTAAAATACAAATATGTAAACATAATAATACTTATAAATTACTAACCTATTATTATACATAATAACAGGTAAGTTAAAGAAAACATTAAAATCATTAAAATATAAATGTAAATACCACTATTTGTAATCATTTAACATAGCATAAAATAAATATACAGAGTGTTCAGAAAGTAAGAAAATAAGTCAATTGTTACAATAAAAACAATAGGAACCAGTTTTCTAATTTCCTGAACACTCCATACATAAATTTGTAATGAGCACATACAAAACGGTGTTCTAAAAACAACTATGAATATGGACTTAAAAAAAAAGCTCATAACTAAGTAAAAAAAATTACAAACTTCAACAAAATGGCACCTCTGGAATGTCTGTGGGAAAAAATTGGTAAAAATTTTAGGTCTTAAGTCAAAGACGATGGTCAAAATGAGCGTTTATCTTAAGAGATACCAACATTTTTATACGTTCGCAGAGTATTGAATGCTTTCTCACCCTAAGTAATGTGAATGAATTCTTTAATTAAAAAATAAATACTTTAATCTGATTATATTTAGCATATCCGTGAAGAGTTTGTGCGCTATATTATGTTTGCTAATTGCCTATCGTATATTTTTCTATTTTTTTACAACATATTAATATATACAATAAAATCAAAATTATTTGATCTTGAATTTTATTTAATTTAGGCCCAGTAATTTTTTTTCGCAATTTTAGTCCTAGGTTCTTGTAGTTAAACAATCATTAATTTTAACAAACGTCCTAATGAATAAATAAGACCCAGTACAGTGGAGTCATGCCACAGTAAGGACGTAGCTAGTTGGATCCAGTATAGATGATATCTGACAGTATAAGTGTAATATATGAATAAATATTTATTCATATATTACACTTATAAATCATAATACTCGTAATTAGGATAAAAATAAGGAAATAGGAGATCATGTTGCTATTGGAATAATCCACCAATTTTTAAAATTAAATACTGTCTACAGATTTGTATCGAAGCGTTTTTTATGGTAGTTATTTTAATCACTGTCAGATATCATCTTTACTGGACCCAACTATGCAACGTTCCTACTGTACCGCGACCTCACTGTGCTGGGTTGGTTTTTTTACTTAAAACTGACATAACTTTTTCTAAATAATTTATGTACGGTATCGATTGTTATATTTTTAAATATATTAATGATTATTGCAGACGGTAAAATTGTCCTTTTATTATTTATTACTAGTTTAAAAAACTTACATATGTATCTTTCATAACATTAATAAAGTTGTAGGTGTACATAAATATTTTTATTTTTAATCACTCACAATTATACACTCAATTGAAATACTTAACGTTCTCACCATTTTATTGTTTAATAAATTTAAAACCTTTTAGAATATAATTGTGAAAATCGTTTACAGTTTTAATGGAGCGTAAATTTAGTATCATATTTTTTATTGTTAGCCATAATTTTACAAGCTTTTGATTATAAGTTATGATATAATTCAGAAGTTCATATAATAGTGTTACTACTTGACTGAACAATAATAGTAACATATTGTGTTCAATGGTCTTAATAAACAACGGTTTCTTCTTAGTTCTATTGCGTGTACTACTATAGTTTTTAGTAAGAAATTTGATATTTTTTCTAGAAATGATGTGTTATATATGATAAAAGTAATACAGTTAAAAAAAAAAAAAATCAAAGAAATGAAAATTAAAGTTTTTATCAATAAACAAATTTTATTAATTTATTCTATTACCCAAAATTACAATAGAAAATCATGTATTGTTGATAATTTTCCATTGGGAATATTTTGTTAATTTAATTTGTATATGAAAAATAATAATTAACCATAATAAATAAATATAAATTATAAATCTAATACCTATATATTAGTT